AAGGGAAGAGAGAGGGAGAGAGAGAGAGAGAGAGAGAGAGAGAGTGAGAGAGAGAAGGAGAAAAGAATGAAATAGAAAAAGAAACAAACACAGAAACATGCAGCTAATAAATTCGTAGACTTTCAAGATAGATTGGATTTTACTTAACTAACACAATCTTTGCATAATTTTATTTTACATATTTTCGTATGCATTGTAAAAATAAAAGGTTAAGGGCTCTTTAAACGAACGACCTTCGCTCTTTTCATTTCTACTACTTCTCGATGTTAATTATACCTGACCTTTTGCGTGCTCGCTAATATTTCCTGTTCTCTTATAAAATTTGCATTGTTAACATCGTGTAAGCAAACGATTTAACACATTATTTATTATTATTTTTTTTCTTTTTCTTTTTTCATGCATAGAAAATATGCGTATTATAAAATATAATGTAATATGAATACGACGACTCTTGCGATAAAAGTCATATCGATGATAATTCTCAAATCTCATTACTAAATCCGATTGAAATGACATTGTTATATCTTAGAATTGTAGACGCTTATGCGATCATGCGCGAAAATCGCAACGTGATTTAAATTGCGACATGAGTTCACCGTGTCACGTTACCCGTCGGTTTAGCGAACGACTATTTGCTAGAGACTTACAAATGATTTCTGGACCATCGGATTTAGAAAGCTCGACTAGGTCTTATGTTCTATGTCATGGTTAGTTGAAGCACCACGAAGACGATTTTAGAGTCCCTTATTTTTCAAAAATATACATACAGTGTATGTGGATAGAAAGTTTGATTATTTTTACATAAAGTCAAACTAAATATATAAATAATATATTCCCTACTAATATATTTCTTTATCCTATTATCTTTATACTATATATATATATATATATATATATATATATATATATATTTCGTGCTTTTATATGTATCAATAACTAATATATATTCGTTCAATTTATTATTTTTAAATAATATCTTGAAAGACTAAAAACACATATATTATAGAACTTCACGTTAGATTTCTTATCAACTCGCCTACGTCGCCGAACTCGAGCAATATCCTGGATTAATATATATTAGAAAATCAATTATGTCGAAGCCGCACTTAATCCGGTATCCAAGGATTAGCGAATAACCTCCCAACGGGAGAAGTCTCATTTTCATGTTCTGCCGATTCTCACCATTTCTGAGAAGAGTAAGAGGGAAAGCTCAAAGAAGAATGTGTATGACAAGGATGAAGGCATGTATATATATATATATATATATATATACATATATACATATTATAGGTATATATATAGTATAGAGATAGTAATAGGGAAGAGAGAGAGAGAGAGAGAGAGAGAGAGAAAGAGAAATGATAAGGGGTAGAAGCCCTTCTCCTTTCTTCGTTATCCTCATACATTTTCACGATCCCGTAGGAGTCGCTTGCGCAAGCACTATCTTTATGCCTTAGAAAAATTTCTTCTTCCCTGGTCTTTCTTCGTAAAAATAACTGATTACTTATATCGCGTTCGTTTCACTTAAATAATATTGATTAAATTGTTTGAGTGTATAGTATCGATGAAAATCGTTGTGAGGGACTTACATAAAGTTATCTTTTCTAATCGAACAATATATGCATTTTAATCAAATCAAGAGGATAATCAATGAAAAAATGAAAAAATCCATCCGAACGAATATCGTTGAATGTTTTAACTACTATTCATATGTATCGATCGATCTAATAAAGATCCATTCTTTTTAATTACTTGAGTAATAGGTAATTATATTTTATCTGATAATATAACTTGATTTAAATTCATTTGTAGGAAACATTGTGCTCATGTATAATGTTTATGTTACCTTTATTTTCTTTTATTACGGTTAGATTTTACAAGGCCATCCTCTACTTTATTTCTATTACTCCGGCCTTAACTTCTATTATTCTTTGAAACTTTATATAATTACCTCGTAATATAATTGTTTCTCTGAAATAGCTGAGCAATACAATAATATTAAATGTGAAGCCTTATTATTTTGAAGAGGATACTATGTCTTACCATCGTCGACGTCCATCCGTCATTCCATTCCGTTCAATGATTCTCCTTAGGGTAAAAGAAGTAGCTTGGAAGGAAAGAAACGTTTCCCCTTTTCTATTCTTCGTGCTCAGCTCTTTTATTTATTTTTTTTTCTTTTCTTTTCTTTTCGAACGGCACAATGGCAGCAATGTCAAATTAATGAGACCAGGAAGTTTCGGCCACTTTTGTCAATTTCTCGTATTCAGAGTGATACTGCGAAATTGTTAGTGAGAAGGGGGAAAGCCTTCCCAGAAGTGTCCTTGCAAACACGAGCTTGATTATTGAAACAGGCCGACCCCTATAAGCGCGTCCATTAATAACCTTTTGAAGATCCTCCCTGTGATGCGTAATACAAGCTGCTCGGACATCAACGATGTAAACGTGTACTTGTATACAAACTAATATAGAAAAGATGTCATGATCCATATACCATCCATAATGATTAATATCAAAACGAAAAATCAAAAATATTTATAGATGATTATATTAAATAATTATATTTTTAAGATTGTATTAGATGATTATTAAAATTAATTATACATTTTTAATAGAAAATCGTTAAACTAAGTGTCTTTGTTAAATATCAATTAATTATTAATAATTTTTATATGCATCATCATCAAAATGTAATTTCATCGATGAAAATAATAAAGGAAAATTGAAAAAGGAATCTAGTATGACTCCAAAGTGATATTCTTCCCAGAAGTCACGTAAATTCCCAGTGGTTGCTCTCGTTATCACCGTACTCTAGTGATTGCCGGGTTTCGAACGTACTCTCTCCTTCCTTTTGCTATCCTCACGGTCTTCGTCGTTTCGTACGTACGTGCTTACGTGCGTTTTCTACAGGGGAATACGTGCGCTGCGGTATCGTAATGCGCATGTGTCCTACTAGATTCCTTTCCGTCTCACCCTGGCGATTTGAAATTTACTCAGAGATCTAATGGGAATACTGCATTTGTAGGGAAAACGTTCTACAGAGAAAGAGAGAGAGAGAGAGAGAAGGAGAAAATGTATCGCCGAGATTCGAATGTGAATTTGGTTCGGTCGACCTTGAATATTTTAGAAGCTAGGATAGCCAATCGACATTTCGAAACTTTCGATCAAGATACTCTCTCTCTCAATCTCTCTCTCTCTCTCTCTCTCTCTCTCTTTCTCAATCTATAATATGAATCTTAGAAGCTGTTTTCTATATTTACAGAACATATTATCGATATCATCCAACGATCTCTTGTGGTCCCTATGATTTATAAATTAACATAGATCATACTTTTTATAATCGTATTATAATCATTAATATATATCGTCTTGTCGGAATCTAACTGGTCCGTCTGATTCATGAATAATTCAGGATCGAGTTATCTCCGATAGTGATTGTCAGTTCGAACGACATCGAAAGCCTTTTTATCGACAGATTTAAAAGATCCTTTAAAATATTATTACAGCGTCAGGTAGACAAGTGTCAAATCGTCCATCAGATATTTCGAAAGGTGAATACTGATCTTGAAAGACACAAGGAATGAAGATCACTCGAGATAAATGCGTGCCATACACTCGATAATCGTTGTGTGAACGAGTTCAACTTGGACAATGGCGCAGGCGCGACTCCTTTCATTAGCTGTCTCTGACCTTTTTGCTTGCGTCGAATCGGCGAAGCGGTTAATTTGAAAATGCGACATTGTAGTCGGAGAGAAACACAGGGGTGAAAATATTAGCGTAGTTAATTTGTCAACGTATTCGTTCGTAATGGTTTTCGGTGTATCGTTAAACGTACTCACAATTATTACAAGTAGCAATGGGATTAAATACAGTTACAAACATTGCTTTTGTACAAACTTTCCCATTGTTATCCATTAAAAATAATTACATTTCTTTTTATCCACGTATATTCTGCATTTGAAATAACTCAGATCCATTCCTTATCATTAAATATTATAGTCCGTTGATTTTCCATTTGAATTTCAAATATAACATTTGCACTAATCAAATCGAACGGAATTAAGTAGCAAGTTATGATTCCTGCTTGATATCACCTTATGAATATCACAACTAGCTTTGATCGAACATTTCAAAACAGTAATCGAATTAAGTCCCATCGGTAGATGCAAGTATGTAGAGAAGCTTGAGTGAGAAGGTACTCAGGTAACATTTTCAGAAAGGGTGACGACTTAGTAATATTAGTATTAGTAATAGTACTAGAAATAGTAGCAGTAGTCGTAGTAGAGTAGTGTAGTAATAATAATAATAATAATAATAATAATAATAATAGTAGTAGTAGTAGTAGTAGTAGTAGTAGTAGTAGTAGTAGTAGTAGTAGTAGTGCGTAGTAGTAGTAGTAGTAGTAGTAGTAGTAGTAGTAGTAGTAGTAGTAGTAGTAGTAGTAGTAGTAGTAGTAGTAGTAGTAGTAGTAGTATCTCAAGAAGTACGCATGCGCATGCGAAAGATTGGCTATCTCTGTCCCTCTCTTTCTGTTTGACGGTTCGTTCCGTACCCCGCCAAGACGGAACTGCCACGCGACTGATGCCCCCACTACGAGCCGTGAGCGTGTGTCACGCTCCGGGTAGCTCGGTGCGTGCCTATTACACGGGCCGATGGAGGGGGTAAGGGGCGCGCGCGTACTCGCTCGACGGTAGTGGGGCGAGCCGGTCGCGAGGTGGTGGGGATGCGAGTGCCGAGAACGGAGGAGCCGTCAGTAGTTCCGTACCAACTCTCCTCTGATACGTATGTATGTCGGTGCCGCGTGCGTCGCGTCGCGCCGCGATTAAGATAGACACGCACCGTCGTTACAATCGTCGTCGTCGTCGTCGTCGTCGTCGTCGTCCTCCTCATTGGCATCGTCATCGTCATCGTCATCATCATCGTTTTCGTCATTGTCATTATTGTATATAACAAAAAAGGGACACGAAGAAAAATTGATCAGAAGACAGAAGAAGAAGAGAAATAATGTGATTGCGTCTAACAGAGAGAAAGAGAGAGAGAGAGAGAGAGAGTGAGAGTGAGTGAGTGAGAAAGAAAGAGAGAGAGAGAGAGAGAAAGAGAGAGAGTTAAAGAAATAACGATCGAGCTTCTTCGATTCAGAGTGGTGTGTTCTTCTTCGTGATTACTTTCCCTGGTCCATCGTGTGATCGCACGAATGTCGCGACGCGATGTCGCCCGATAACGTACGCGTCGAGCCGCAAAACCTGGCACTCGACGTCACGGCTATCATCGGTTCCTCCTGACAATATGAGCCTCGTCAAGCATTGTCGTACTACGCGATCGCTAATAAGAGTACTATCACTATTGGTACTGCTGGTGCTGGCGAGTGTTCTCCTCAACATCATCGCAACCACTGTCGCCGTCGTCGTCGTCGTCGTCGCCATCGTCATCAACATCATCGTCGTCGTCGTCGTCGTCGTCGTGGTGAAGAATCTTGCGACTTCTATTGTTACTCTTGTCGTTGCTGACTCAAGATCTCTGTTCTATTTATCAAAGGATTATTAACCTTCAAGGAGAACTTCGTACTCCCGTGTGTGTGCTATCGTGCCCGTTAAAACCACCCTAAAACACGTGCGACCTTTCCCGTGGGATTATCGTTCCTTGTGTGTATTATTATTATTCGTGTGTCACGAAGAAGAAGGACGACGACGATTCGTCCTTCTTTATATTCTTCTTCGTTGTTTACGTTCTTTACTATCAGTTTTTTACATTGATACCACCACCACCACCACTACTACTACTACTACTGCCATTACTACAATTACTACTACTATTATTACTACTACTACTACTACTACTATTTGGTGCTTCTTATACTTATTCTCGTTTTATGTGTTTGCGAATGATCGTGGATTTATTTTCTTCTATCTTACGTTATTATCATTATAACATATACACAGTGAGCCACGGATATCAAGCGATGATGGCAGCGTTCATGATCGCCAGCAGCACCATGGATCTTTGCCTCAGCACTGTGGTGACAATGTGCCGCGCTTTCGCGAGCACCTCGACCGATGTTACGAATTGGAGCGTTACAAGGTAAATATATAGACGATATATACCTATATATATATGTATATATATATATATATATGTATATATGCATATATATATTTTTAATATATCCTTTACAACACTCTTTCCATTGATCTTTTTTTAGCATCAATCGTGCTCTCACACTATACACATATATACTTGCTATCCTTATGCGAATACGTAAGATCGATTTTTATGTTCGACGTCGGCGTTTATCGCGCGTTTACTTTCGAAGCGTGCGCTCGATTATGTGCTCCGAACGTGTACCACGATTGAAACACGCTTCGTCGATCAAGCGTGACCCTGCTATCTACTCGAATACTTTTGCCCAATCATGCGAGGATAGTATCCGGTGAAATTAGTTTGCTCGATTAAGTGACGACCGTAACACACCATCACCAGAGCGAGAGAGAGAGAGAGAGAGAGAAAGAGATCGATAGATACATAGATGGATAGATAGATAGATCGATAGATATATAGAAAGAGGGAGAGAGAAAGATGGAGATAGAGATAATTGGGCAGAATTTCTCGTTCAATCGTTTTCGTATGTTCTTAGAGCATGGCGCCGGAGGACGATCTTCCTCAGTGCTCTAGGAACGCGTCAAATATATGTAGGGCACCTTAAAATATTCAAAGGATCGATATTCTGCACTCGTCGTGCACACTGTCGACATAGAATATGTACGTTATGTACAAGACATACGTATGTCAGAGAAATGAAAAGAGAAAGAACGAGAGAGAGAGTGAGAGAGAGAGAGAGAGAGAGAGAGAGAGAAAGAAAGAGAGCAAGAAAGAGAGAGAGAGAGAGAGAAAATTCTTTTTTTTTTGAGAAGGCAATTACCACGCGAATGAAACGCGGAATAAGCTTGGGCCACTCGTCGTCGAGGAAATATCGATTTTCTTTAGGTAAAACGTACCAGGACGAAATTTTCATGGTTTTCTTTCTCTTTCTCGTTCTCTATTTCGTTCTCGTTTTCTATCTCGTTCTCATTCTTTTTAACCATTGATATCGTCGTACATATCAACGTATACGCAATGATACGCTACGAAAAAACACGTTTCGGATGATCATTACGAAACGATTATTGATTAGGATCGAAGTAAATTCAAATACCGTGACATTTCATTCGTCGATTTACAATTAAATGGAATTTTCTCGATTTGCAGCGTGGAATCGGATGTTTTATATAACTGCACCTTCTTTTTTTTCCCCTCTCCCTCCCTCTTTTCTTTTTTTTTTTTTTTTTTTTTTTTACTCTCCATTCGACGACTATTTTTCACGTACTACACGAAATTATCGTTCGTGTCGCTTTAACTCGATTAAAAATCATTGATTTTGTGAGAACGCACATGGTATCATTTTAAACGTATCTACACTTAAATACTTCAATCCCCGATCGTTTTGTCGTTTGATTATAGATATTTGCCGATGGATATCGATCGGTTATAACGGTTCATACGTATGTTTCTCAATCAGACTGAGTGTACGGGTCTGTGAGTTTTAAATTTAAATCGTAACTCAACGTTTAAAATAAGCGAATAAGAGGAATATTAACTTGATGGACGTGTGTACCGACTTTTGTTTGTATGTCAGTTCACTTTATATCAAACGAAGACTCGCCCACTAAAGGTAACTAACATTTCATTCAATTACTCCTTTCTAAACCAATTCAATTTGCAGAATAACAAGAATCACAAAAGAGAAAGAGCGAGAGAGAGAGAGAGAGAGAGAGAGAAAGAGAAAGAGAAAGAGAGAGAGAGAGAGAGAGAAAGATAGATAGAAAGAGAGAATAGAAGTAACCGCAATAAAGAGAATTTACGTTCTAATCGAAACATGGAATTCAAAGTGTACGAATTTTGAATTATCTTTACGTACCCATTTATATATAAAAGTATACATATATGTATGTATATATTTTTATACATATATTTTTAGCACTATGAAAATGTTTAAGATTTTCGTTGTAAAGTTAATTCGACTTAATAGTACGAGAAAAGTTGGCCTACTCTGCGATTTTATAACTTCGATAACGAACTCTCGGTACTCGCGTTAGAATCGCCTTGAAAATTCCAGCTTTTTTTAAGTTACCGAATTACTAGAGAAAAAAAAGAGACAGAGAAAGAGAGAGAGAAAGAGAAAGAGAGACACACAGAGAGAGAGAGAAAGAGAAAGAGAGACACACAGAGAGAGAGAGAAAGAGAAAGAGAAAGAGAGAGAGAGAGAGAGAGAGAGAGAGAGAGAGAGAGAGAGAAGAGCATAATGAGGGTACATGACTATACGTACAGTATGCTCGCATGCACAAGCGCATGTATAAGCTCGGCTCTACATGGATACCTCCTTCTCTTTCTTTTATACGTTCATTCATTCAACCCTTCATCTCTCTCTCTCTCTCTCTCTCTCTCTCTCTCTTTCATGGCCGATCCACCCTCGCTCGCCGAGATAGAATTCGTCGGTGGAATTTTAATTCCGACTATTCCGAGAGCTAAATAGCACTTTAATATC